TTGATAGATACTGACACAATCCCATGATATACAACTATGTGTAGTATGGGAAATATTTTGACGTAATCCCTGGATGCATTTTTGTATGTTGATAGATACTGACACAATCCCATGATATCCAACTATGTGTAGTATGGGAAATATCTTGACGTAATCCCTGGATGCATTTTCTGTATGTTGATGGATACTGACACAATCCCATGATATACAACTATGTGTGGTATGGGACATATCTTGACACAATCCCTGGATACATCTCTGTGTGTTGATGGATACGGACACAAGCCCTAGATATACAACAATGTGTAGTATGGGAAATATCTTGACACAATCCCTGGATGCATTTCTGTGTGTTGATGGATACTGACACAAGCCCTAGATATACAACTATGTGTAGTATGGGAAATATCTTGACATAATCCCTGGATGCATTTCTGTATGTTGATGGATACTGACACAAGCCCTAGATATACAACTATGTGTAGTATGGGAAATATCTTGACACAATTCCTGGATGCATTTCTGTATGTTGATAGATACTGACACAAGCCCATGATATACAACTATGTGTAGTATGGGAAATATCTTGACACAATTCCTGGATTCATTTCTGTATGTTGATAGATACTGACACAAGCCCATGATATGCAACTATGTGTAGTAGGGGAAATATCTTGAAATAATCCGTGGATACATCTCTGTTTTTTATGGATACTGACACAATCCCTAGATATACAACTATGGGTAGTTTGACTTCTTTGATTGGCATTCTAGTAGTTGGGTTGATGAAGAATGAGGACTATTTTGTACGGATAGACAACTTCTTTATTCTATATAGGCGACGTTTCGACATAGATTCTAATGTCGTTGTGAAGCAAGTGGTACATGGGAAGTAATTTGGGTGATATATATACATAAGATGTTTGAAGAATAGATGAGGGATGAGGCAAAACTGAGTTGTTTATACAATAGAAGAGGTTAATAACACAGGTTTAAGTAGGTTGATAAGAGGCCAGTAAAGAACATGTACATGGTTGTATACCTAAGAGATTAAGAATGTTGATGGGCAGCCAGTAGGGAATGATGTACATAAGTTGTTTGCATAAGTCAGTGGTGGTGGGAAGGCAGTGGTGAAGTGATGTTTACACAATGGATAATGTACATTGTTACACAATGGATATTGTACAAAGGTTGAGTAGGGTTACATGAAAGTAACTGAGCAAGTGGTGATAGGCCTTGGGTATGATATATACTTCATCTCTGTTGATGGCTGGGCAAATCTTCTTTATGTGGACAACTTCAAGTAGTTTTCGGGTTTTGAAATCAGGCTGGTTCCTCTGGTTGACTTTGGTGGTGTTCCAGCTGCAGGCCACAGGCAGACCAACCCCGGTAAAGAAGCCAGATCCTGCAGGTGTCGTCTACCAGATATAATACGAAATATCTTGACATAATCCCTTGATACATCTCTGTATGTTGATAGATACTGACACAAGACCTAGATATACAACTATGTGTAGTATGGGAAATATCTTGACATAATCCCTGGATACATCTCTGTATGTTGATGGATACTGACACAAGACCTAGATATCTACATACATGTACTGATATAACTATAGCGACAAATTACAGATATTTAGGGCTGACCAGGTAGGGTCTGTGATCGATGTACAGATCGGCGCACACTCAGCTGAAGTAAGCAAGTGGGGCTGACGTCATACACCGGAGGAAATGTGTTGCCTCTTAGGGGATGAGGAGATAGCAGATGTCAAAGGAAGTAGAGAGTTAGTTAGCGCTCCTCCTCAAGCGGCGCTTCTGCTGGTGGGGACACAGCGCTGGAGAGAGTGGGGAGGTGGTGTACAATTGCTGTACCTCTGTACTCATTTGCCACTGACACTGAATAATAGCTGCAGGACAATCATGCCACGTAGATTACTACACAATAGAAACTTGTAACTGTAACCTACACTGGCGTTATAATCACTCCTTGAATATTTCAACACAAATGTGAGGTGACCAATTCACACATCACCTCTTATATCATGTTCACATGCAATCATGTGTAAATGTATACTCAGTCAAATTCATAACATGACACTTGCTAAAATGAATCCCACACTCAAAGTAATATGCCACCATCAACTCTAAACAACAACCAGAATGGTTTGATAAACAGTGTCAGACGCTCAAACGTGAAAAATATAAACTGCTCAACGTGTTTAGAAAAAACCAAAAACATGTGAGAATCTAAGTTCCAACGGACTTGTACAACTGAAACAGATAGCTATAAACGTTCCATTACTCAACCAATACATGATGCAGCGAGTTCCAGAGACTGCTCAGCATTTTGGCGACTTTGGAAACAATATACGACAACTCGCGCCATGGAAGAAAGTGTAATGCCATCAACATGGGCTGAGTACTTTTAGGACTTGTTAAACCCAACATTGCCAGAAGATGGCAGCTTTTCAGAAAATGCTAAATCTGATATTGATAAACATGACTTTAATATATGTGTTGATTGTTGTAATGACGATGATATTTCATCATGTGACTTTATTCAGATCAGGATGTAACAAATGCTATTGATATCTTAGATCAACAAAGCCCCAGGCGATGATGGTATTACCGCCGAGTTTTTCAGAGCTTCTGAGCACAAAATAGTTCCTTATTTAGTATTACTGTTCAACAAGATATTCATCCGGCTGTTAGCCAACTTCATGTTCTACTGGCAGTAGTATCCCACACATAAGAAAGGTAGCACCTCTGACCCGAATAATTACAGGAGGATCTCTCTTCCGATTGTAATGAGCAAAATATTTGTTTCTGTTCTGAACAAAAGATTGGAGTACTTCTTGGAGCTTCGTGGGATAACTGGAAAATATCAGACCATTCGACTGTGGACAGTATTCTTATTCTCCAGAAAATCATTCAGAAGTTATCCAATCTCCATGACAATAGGGAAATCTATTGGTTACATCGAAGATGAATTTCTCCACTAACTTGAGGGAACCAACTGCAAATCTTATGGAGATGAGTTGCAGAGGATCATGCATCAAATTGTTAAAACACATGTGCACATATGGTGCATGTGAACAGCATACGAATTTGTTTTACAATACATCAGTTCATGTGCAAACAGTACCATTTAACAGTATGGAATATTTTGCAAAATCTAGTTAAGAACAGTTGATTGAAGTAAGTGGCTACATTTAGACTAGTGAATCTAAACTTTTGAAGGGTAGTATATTTGTAGCAGGGCGTGGAATCATCCCATAGATGACATCCTTACCTTTTTAGCTTTTTGACGGGTTTAACCTCTTTGGTCATGTGGACAAGGCGTCCGACTTCGAATGAGAAGGTCCGTGGTTCGAATCCCAGCACGGGACACGGAAATGTTACGGCCGCTACATATTCAGTCCATATAAATTACGTACAACTGATCAATCCCTATGACAATATGAATAACTGATCAAGATGATATATTGTTATGCATAAAGTCGTATGCTTTATTATTGACTTACCAACTTCTTGAATGCCGATCAAACAATTGATAACTCTACAGTCCTTATGATAAGACATGCATTATTATGCACGCTCTCATATCACACATGCATGACTATCACAACTGTGGGGTTACAGGCTAGGATTCTTACCTTTCACTTCCTTGTTCCTGCTTGTGCATAGTGATATGCCTTCACATCACGCAGGGACTAAAATAACCTCACCACGAACAGGCTAATGCATGTATGTACCCACGTAGATCTGACAAGCCTCGCCTCGTGGCCTGAAACCTGTCAAGTGAGACTCAATCACAGGCGTTGCATGACATGTATTTGTGTGGACGATATAGTTATTTGAATATATTTCTTATAAATACTTAGTTAGTTCATTAAGCTTTACGAGTCAGCAACAACGCACTTTATCTGTATTTTTGTGTCCCGAGCTCACACCTGGTGTTTAACTGCATGTTTTGTTCAACCTGTAAATCTATCAGCACATAACAGAACATAGTTGTGAGTGAGTAAGTTCTATATTCATTATATCGAAATAAAACAGTATGTTTGCATTTTTTCTTTAAGTAAACAAAATATATGTGATATAAGTTATGAATGATTAATTAAATATTGACATAGATCACCAAATATTCCATCACTTCTTATTCTGTGTATATGGTGTATCTTATAGCGTAAGGAACTGTATCCTAATTGTGTGATGTTATGTATTTCAGGGTGTAACTTAACAACAAACAACACATCATATGTTTTTGACAGTCATTCAAACAGGATTCAGACCCGTAGCTGTACTGGACATTACTCCTTCAACAACACACTCCCCTGTAACATATGTTATATTTGGGATTACACTTTCTTAGTAAAGTACATATTCTAGTTCTTTTTGGGTCCAATCCCAGTCGGGATTCGAACCCACCACACCCTCGGAGTCAGGCACCTAATCGCCAGCACGTAACTCACTCCCCTGTTATATCAGTTTGACTACATAAGACTGTGCTGTGCAGCAAAGTCACCACTGTATGCAGTGTTGTATAAGTGCGCGCCTATTTATAATATCGTTAAAGCTAAGATGACTGATATGGGTGAGCTTCACAGTCAGTTTGTGCACTTCCTGGAATAGGCCTAAATGATTCCGGTTTCAAAAAAAGCCTTATTGCATACTTTACGGTCTATCGATTTCAATAATTTGACATTGATTCTCGGAGAAACTACTTCTTATTCAGGTGTATATTGTACACAAACATATGACCTTGACACCACCGAAACATAGACAAAAACAGTCCTGGTAAGTAAATTACGATGTCAGGTATTCCTGAACAACCCACCAGCCCCGCGAGTACCCGTGTCCCCTTCTACGTTGGGAGACACGCCCTGGTGTGTAGCTCACACAATCACATACTTTAGTACATACTCAGTACATATAGATGAAAACTCTGTCGCTGTACATGCATATGTAACATGTCACGTGGGGTATGAGTTTCAAAGTAATTTACTTCCTGCTTGCTACAAACTCCGTCAGAAGGACATACCAGGGCTGTATGTCAGCTCGCCACCCATCTCCGGCTCCACCATGTCAGGGAAGATAATGCTGCTCTGGGTGTATGTGTTCCTTGGAAAAAGCGGTACGTCCATTATTTAATATATACTTTTTTATACAATTACTCTTAAGCTGGGGAGATTTTGATACATCCACACCGATAGGGAACGGGCTAGGGACAACCCTGATGAAACAACGTTCTAATTGATTTTAGAACCTACGAAACAGGTATACGTCAACTGTCTCAAGGTCTAAATCTATCGTGTGTGATGTACCCGTCCCGTTCCTACTCAAACACTTCGGGGTATAAAAAAAACGTGATTGTTCAAGGTGAATGACAAATCTGTTTGTGAATGTTAAACCTGTCTTTATTGCAGCAATTAAAGGGGTACGACCTTTTCACGGTAGACGGCATAGCTTCTATGTGCGTTATTCTAACAATATTGACGCTGTTTATACCAAGTATTGCGATTGTTCGGGGTACACTTCACTATCGAGTGTTATGCAACGCTAGGCACGCACACACACAAACTGAGTGTTCGTAATTGCTGTACAATGGAGGGTGGCTTCTGTTGTGAGATACCTTGCCAACGTTAGTTTCCGGTAGGCGCTTGTCTTGTCTTGCATGTCTACGCTGCAAATGGTGTAGAGATTGCGTACTTCCGTTCTCGCTGGCATTGATCGTATTCATAACTCTGTGTCGAGTATCGCTGTATGTTTTTTTTCACCCATAATTAGAAACAGCCTCGGAAAATGTCCCTCACTATCAGAACATGTAACAGAAAAGAAACTGTGACTGAACACCTTTGCCCCATCCCTATCATATAATACCAGGTTATATTCGTTTATGCCAACGTATATACTCTGCAACGGAGATTCTTTAAGTCATATAGCTGGTTTTGACGCTGCAAAATGGTGCTGTTTATATCACAATTCAATAACAGGAATTATATTTATCGTGTTTTCATGTAGTATCTCAAGTGAATACATACAATCAGTTAAACTGAACTTTTTTCTCTTGTCTCAAAGCTGATCATATCTCTGAAGGGTATTTAAAAGTGGAATACATAAGAAAAGCGAGATTTATGGATGTCAACTTCTTTATTGTGAATAACACGACGTTTCGGGGTGTATGCATGCTCCTTCATCAGGTGAATAACTTCTTTATTGTGAATAACACGACGTTTCGGAGTGTATGCATGCTCCTTCATCAGGTGAATAACTTCTTTATTGTGAATAACACGACGTTTCGGAGTGTATGCATGCTCCTTCATCAGGTGAATAACTTCTTTATTGTGAATAACACGACGTTTCGGAGTGTATGCATGCTCCTTCATCAGGTGAATAACTTCTTTATTGTGAATAACACGACGTTTCGGAGTGTATGAATGCTCCTTCATCAGGTGAATAACTTCTTTATTATGAATAACACGACGTTTCGGAGTGTATGCATGCTCCTTCATCAGGTGAATTACTTCTTTATTGTGAAAAATACGACGTTTCGGAGTGTATGAATGCTCCTTCATCAGGTGAATAACTTCTTTATTGTGAATAACACGACGTTTCGGAGTGTATGAATGCTCCTTCATCAGGTGAATAACTTCTTTATTGTGAATAACACGACGTTTCGGAGTGTATGAATGCTCCTTCATCAGGTGAATTACTTCTTTATTGTGAATAACACGACGTTTCAGAGTGTATGAATGCTCCTTCATCAGGTGAATAACTTCTTTATTGTGAATAACACGACGTTTCGGAGTGTATGAATGCTCCTTCATCAGGTGAATAACTTCTTTATTGTGAATAACACGACGTTTCGGAGTGTATGAATGCTCCTTCATCAGGTGAATTACTTCTTTATTGTGAATAACACGACGTTTCGGAGTGTATGAATGCTCCTTCATCAGGTGAATAACTTCTTTATTGTGAATAACACGACGTTTCGGAGTGTATGCATGCTCCTTCATCAGGTGAATAACTTCTTTATTGTGAATAACACGACGTTTCGGAGTGTATGAATGCTCCTTCATCAGGTGAATAACTTCTTTATTGTGAATAACACGACGTTTCGGAGTGTATGCATGCTCCTTCATCAGGTGAATAACTTCTTTATTGTGAATAACACGACGTTTCGACGTGTATGTGTATGCATGCCTTCATCAGGTGAATAACTTCTTTATTGTGAATAACACGACGTTTGAGTGTATGCATGCTCCTTCATCAGGTGAATAACTTCTTTATTGTGAATAACACGACGTTTGGTGTATGAATGCTCCTTCATCAGGTGAATAACTTCTTTATTGTGAATAACCGCACGTGAATTCGTTTGAATATGTATGCATGCTCCTTCATCAGGTGAATAACTTCTTTATTGTGAATAACACGACGTTTGAGTGTATGAATGCTCCTTCATCAGGTGAATAACTTCTTTATTGTGAATAACACGACGTTTGGAGTGTATGAATGCTCCTTCATCAGGTGAATAACTTCTTTATTGTGAATAACACGACGTTTGGTGTATGAATGCTCCTTCATCAGGTGAATAACTTCTTTATTGTGAATAACACGACGTTTCGGAGTGTATGAATGCTCCTTCATCAGGTGAATAACTTCTTTATTGTGAATAACACGACGTTTGGTGTATGAAATGCTCCTTCATCAGGTGAATAACTTCTTTATTGTGAATAACACGACGTTTCGGAGTGTATGCATGCTCCTTCATCAGGTGAATAACTTCTTTATTGTGAATAACACGACGTTTCGGAGTGTATGAATGCTCCTTCATCAGGTGAATAACTTCTTTATTGTGAATAACACGACGTTTGAGTGTATGAATGCTCCTTCATCAGGTGAATAACTTCTTTATTGTGAATAACACGACGTTTTGGAGTGTATGAATGCTCCTTCATCAGGTGAATAACTTCTTTATTATGAATAAACACGACGTTTCGGAGGTATGCATGCTCCTTCATCAGGTGAATAACTTCTTTATTGTGAATAACACGACGTTTCGGAGTGTATGAATGCTCCTTCATCAGGTGAATAACTTCTTTATTGTGAATAACACGACTTTTCGGAGTGTATGAATGCTCCTTCATCAGGTGAATTACTTCTTTATTGTGAATAACACGACGTTTCAGAGTGTATGAATGCTCCTTCATCAGGTGAATAACTTCTTTATTGTGAATAACACGACGTTTCGGAGTGTATGCATGCTCCTCCGAAACGTCGTGTTATTCACAATAAAGAAGTTGACATCCATTAACCTTGCCTTTCTCAAAGCTGAGTGATCAAGTGTTTTTGTTCACTGGGCCACAATACGCCAGCATACGTCAGGGGTTGTGCGTTTCAGCACAGTGACTGTACGCCTTGCTAAACACATTTTTGTCACTTCCTGCTTTCTCTGATTTGCGAACAGATAACGCTCTGCAGTGTAGATTAACAGCAAACAGATAACACACACAATACAGAAATAGGAGACTAAACAAATGTAGGAAAAAGTGGAGTAAAAACTAGTGGAATGTTTGGACTGATAGGTGGATGAATGTATAATGACTGGATGAATGTGGATTAGATGAATAGTGTACGAGGAATAGATAGACGATATGATAAATGAATATATAGAGGAATAGATGGAGGAGAATAGATGATAGATAACCGGGGGAACAACAGATTTAGGAATAGATGGAGGAAAATAGATGGTAGATTCCTGGGTGGAACAACAGATTGAGGAATAGATAGAGTAGAATAAGTGATGATTACCCGGGTGGACCAACAGATTGAGGAATATATGGAGGAGAATAGGTGATGGATACCCGGGTTGACCAACAGATTGAGGAATATATGGAGGAGAATAGGTGATGGATACCCGGGTTGACCAACAGATTGAGGAATAGATGGAGGAGAATAGGTGATGGATACCCGGGTTGACCAACAGATTGAAGAATATATGGAGGAGAATGTGTGATGGATACCTGGGTGGACCAACAGATTGAGGAATAGATGGAGGAGAATAGGTGATGGATACCCGGGTTGACCAACAGATTGAAGAATATATGGAGGAGAATAGGTGATGGATACCCGGGTGGACCAACAGATTGAAGAATATATGGAGGAGAATGTGTGATGGATACCTGGGTGGACCAACAGATTGAGGAATAGATGGAGGAGAATAGGTGATGGATACCCGGGTTGACCAACAGATTGAAGAATATATGGAGGAGAATAGGTGATGGATACCCGGGTGGACCAACAGATTGAGGAATAGATGGAGGAGAATAGATGATGGATACCCGGGTGGAGGAACCGATTGAGGAATAGATGGAGGAGAATAGGTGATGGATACCCGGGTGGAGGAACCGATTGAGGAATATATGGAGGAGAATAGGTGATGGATACCCGGGTTGACCAACAGATTGAGGAATAGATGGAGGCGAATAGATGATGGATACCCGGGTGGAGGAACAGATTTAGGAATAGATGGAGGAGAATAGGTGATGGATACCCGGGTTGACCAACAGATTGAAGAATATATGGAGGAGAATAGATGATGGATACCCGGGTGGACCAACAGATTGAGGAATATATGGAGGAGAATAGGTGATGGATACCCGGGTTGACCAACAGATTGAAGAATATATGGAGGAGAATAGGTGATGAATACTCAAGTGAAACAACAGATTGAGGAATATATGGAGGAGAATAGGTAATGGATACCCGGACGGAGCAACAGATTGAGGGATAGCTGGAGGAGAATAGATGATGAATACCCGGGTGGAGCAACATATTGAGGAATAGATAGAGGAGAATAGATGATGGTTACCCGGATGGAGCAACAGATTGAGGAATAGCTGGAGGAGCACGTGAACGAACGGAGGAATAGATGGAGGAAGAGCTGGGCGGGTGTTTCAGGAATTGATTGATGATGGGTTTGAGGAATAGTTTAAGGAACAGATGGGGGAATTCATGAGGAAAAGATGGTGGAATATTGAGCAATAGACACTACCATACAACATGTGGTGCAAGGTGCGGACCCCACATACGTCATGGGACACCCATTGGTAATACAGGACGCCAAACTTGACC